GGAATTTGAAGAGGTAAAAAAAAAATGCAGGTAGTTCAAATCCACCAGCTTCTAAGCAGGAGAAGATGGCCAATCTCCTTCCACGCAATTTACAACCTAAACCCAAGCAATGAGCTGGTCCCAACTCGCCGGCGATGATGGGGAGAGGCAGCTCCTCAAGGTGTTCATTTTTGCTGACCTGTTGCTGCTTCAAGGACGGTGTCTTCTTCCCAGGACTAGCCCCTCCTGATAACAGGTGCCTGTTTGTAAGGAATACTCTGGCTTCACCTCTTCTCTTCTCAGACGGACTGGCCTGTTCTTTTGAAAGCCATGGTGTACACAGTCCCCATCACCAACTCCACAATTTAAAAGCAATACTTCTTGTCCTTATTTACTGATAACTTTCAAAACATATGAAGCCACTGGAGATTCCACAGCCTCATCACGCACGCTTTAGTCTTTAAAGTGACCACCTTGCCCTTTAGCACGCTCAGGGGGTGTTTGACAGTAGATGTGCCCAACGTAGCACGTTGCTTGATTTTTTTTGTCTGCTGATTCCCGCTAAGCTCACTGCTGTCAAGTTGATTTCAGCACGTAGTGACATTCCACTTGGTTTCTGACGTTAAAGAGCACTGTCCGTGTTCTCCCGCTGGTGGGTTTAAGCCGCTGATCTTTGGGTAACAGTCTGTTACATAATGTGCTACAGCACCTCAACTCTAATATGAATCAGGTGGCTCTAGTCCAAAACCTTCTGAGAGAAGGGGTGTAGGCAATAGTGCCCCACTACTCCAGGAAAAAACACCAGGTGTGGGTTTATTGATTGGTCATCAGAAGGCCACTAAAGACAAAGTGAAGAGTGGTGACCACCAGCACTATGTGGACTCGGAACAATTTATATGATTAAGAAGACCCCTTGCTGCTGTTATCTGTCATCAAGTTGACCACAACCCACAGAGACCCTATGAACAATGGCTCAGAAACTCGCCTATCCTGAGCCAATCACCATCTCTGATACACCTGACCTCCTTGCCATTGTCACTGTGTCAATTCAGTTCACTGAAGGTCGTCCTTTCTTGCACTGTCCCTCCATCCTTCCAAATGTGTTGTCCTTTTCCAAGAACTGGACCTTCTTGGTGGCTTCAAAATCCTTGTTTCCAAGGAGCAACGTGGCTTACTTCTTCCAGGACAGACCTGTTTGTTCTCTTGGCAGTCCATGGTATGTTCAATTCTCTTCTCCAGCACCAGAGATCAAAGGCATCAATTCTTCTATCATCCGTAGTCATTGTCCAGTTCTTTGATGTATAGCAAGTAATTGTGCAAACCATGGTATGGTTCAAGTGAACCTTAGTCTTTAGGCTGACATCATTGCTCTTTAGCACTCTGGAGAGGGCTCTGACAGCAGACTTTGTCAGTGCAACTCATCTTTTCATTTCCTGGCTGCTGAAGCCAAGGGTATTGATTGTGAATTAAAGCAAGATAAAATCAAGGGGGGAAAATGCAGCAGAGATATGTCCTTTCTCCACACCTTTTCAATCTACATGCTGAACAGATCATTCAAGGAGCTACACTTTAAGAAGACTGTGGCATCAGGATTGGAGGAAGATTCATCACCAGCCTGCATTTATGCAGATGACACCTTGCTCATCAGAAAGGAGCAGGACTTGGTGAGCTTGCTACAGTCTTCAGTAAGGATTGCATCCCAACACAAGGAAAAGTAAACTCCTCACCACCGGGCCAATAGGCAGCATTGTGATAGATGGAGAAGGGATTGGAGTTGTTAGGATTTCTTCACTCCTTTGTCTCAATAATTTACAGAAACAAAAAACCAACAACTGAAAAAAATGATGTGCTGTGGCCTTGGAGTCGGCTCAGTTTTTCAAGAGAGAAGTAGATGCAGACCCTTTCAGGGTAAATCTGACTCCCTCAATAGTGCCCTCTGCTGATGGTAATACCACTGGCCAAGTCACCAGGAAGTCCAGAGAGAAAGGGCAGAGCAGCAAGGGCGCCGTTTCTAGAGGGTGACCCTGGTGGACCAAGGGAGACTAAGTAGAGTCTTGAGCACAAGGTCATGAGGCCCAGTGGCCCATGCTGGTGGTGCTTTGCCCACAGCCAGAGCGGACCTGGTGAGGAAGGCAGATAAAGACGTTAGGTGTCTCAGAGTCCAGGGCCGCCTCACCCCACAGTGAGAGCTTTGCAGCTTTCCACAAGAAGTGGATCAAACCGAACCAGGAAGAGAGCTGTGTTTCCCCGTTTGCCACAGCGCCATGAAAACCCTAACTAAACTTGTAAGGCCCAGCACAGCAGGACCAATAGCCATGCATCAGTGGTACCATGTGTGGTATGATGAAGGCATGTCGGTCACCTCCCGTGTGCCAGGGGCAGGAGGACTGTCCTAAACACCGACAACAGAAGATTTAGAGTATGCCAGGCCTCTTCGAAGCGTTGTTTACATTCTCTTGTACACCATCAAGCCTTTTCCACGCTACACATGCATTATCCCTTTACCCCACTGTACACGAACTGCAGACCAGGGGTCTGAGGCCCACTGCAATTGTTCAAGGTTCTGCACTTGGCAGAGTGAGCACTGAGACCCTTCTCCCCCAGACCCGTGCTGCTCTGGCTCGGTAAAGGCCTGATGTCAATGTGACCAAGTTGCTGTAGTCGTGTGTATGTGCCCTTGAGTAGGAACCAACCTATAGATGCTCCTCCAGACAGGTTTTCAGAGGCAGTTAACTGCCTGGGAGGAGACTGCCCATCTTTCTCTCTCAGAGCAGCTGGTGGATTTGAACTATGTGCTTTGGGACGGCAGCACAGATTCTTACCAGTAGGCCATCAGACGTGGTGTTAATGTAAGAGTTAGACGTCATGTCAATATAACAGAGTCAATAAAGACACGAGTGCAGAGTAACAGAGAGTGACCCCTGTGGAAAAGGAGACAAAGGAAGAATCCCAAAAGTCAGAAGGTGATTTGCAGAAATTAGCAACACACACACACACACACACACACACACACACACACACGCACACACACGCACGCACGCACGCGCGCGCGCGTCAGCACATCCTCTATTTCCTAATGACCAAGCTGCAGAATTTCAGTCTGGTTTCATGTCCTTTATACCACAACTACTTCTTGGTTTGCCAGATTGGAAGGCAATGGGGTGGGCAGGAGGGCGCCAACATATTTTATGGCTTCAGCTTTCCTTCTGGATGCAAAAACAATCCAGATATTTTCTTTGCAAATGTGGCTCTGGGGATATCATCTCCTCAGAGAGCCGGGTTAAAGCCCTGCCTTGAGGACCTGTGCTGTGAGCCCTTCAATCTTGTACGCCAGGGGTCTCATTCCTGAGATCTAGAGGCCCTTAGAACAATCTTCAAAACCAGAAAACAAACAGGGTAAAATGTTTGTAAGATGCTGCAGAGAGTAAAGGGGTTGGAGAGCAGAAGAGACCCTGGTGTGAGCTGTAAACTGTTCTGGGATGGATTCAGCGTTTCTGCAGGCGGGCCACGGGTCCACACACGCATACAGGCACCACGCGCAGGACTAAGGCAGCGTGTGCCTTGCGCCCTTTGGAGGGCCAGAACAGGAGTAACCCGCGGAGAGACAGCTTGTGGTCCGCGGTAAGCGTGAGTCTCCTGTCCCTGCGCACTGTTTCCATAAGCGTGTGCACACGTGTGGGCGCGTGCAGGCATGTGCACACACACGGCAGCAGAGCTGAACGCTGCACCCCGTCTCCAGCGTCCAGGGCCTAATCTACAAGTCAGTTGTGAGAAGAGGCAGGGCTCCACTGCTGAAGAATTTTAGGTATGAACAATGAACTCACCAACTCCTTCCCCCTCACATTGCTTTTAAAAAAAGAAAGAAGGGAAAGGCCTGGGGCTGGCCTGGGCCAGTTCTCAACTCCCACAGGCAGCCCCCCAAAGTCAGCAGCTGCGCTCGTTGGCATCACAATGTCCACCTTCAGGACAAACCCCGCCACTCAGTGATGGCTAGGGCCCCAGGTGGCTCCTACCTGCTGTCTCTGAGCACTTGTTTGGAAGCACGTTGAGCGGCTGCTCACGTCTCCAGATTGCATTAATTACAGCTGTGCAAACAAGGCCAGCGCGCCAGGGTCAGGGCGGGAGGGAGCCGGCCGGGACCCAGCGGCCGCGGTCTGTCCGCAGCCCGGGACGGCTGGCCCCCACCCAGCTAGGCGTTGCCGCGGCTTCCCAGCCAGCGCTGCCTCGGGAACTCGCCGCTGAGGAGGACAAACACCCTGCAGCCAAGCGCCCCGCGTGCGCATGTGGGGGGCGCGACTGGGCGGCATCCCTGCCTAACTCGGTCAGGAACAGGGGGCAGAAAGGGCCCTCCTCAACCTCTGAGGAGGGAGCCCAGACCCCTGCTCCCCTTCTGGTCTCCTATTAGCTGTTTCTGGCTGAGTTCATTTCAGGGGCCACCGCGAGTGTCAGCGGAACTTCGGGGGCCTGCGTGCGGGACCACGGAGAGCTAGCCCTCTATCAGCAAAGACGCCGGAGCCTGGGGAGCAGACCTTGTGGTCCATTCGCCCCTGGAGGGGGCTTGGTCCTGTCCTGGGGCGCACAGTCCCCTCCCTTCTAGCTCTCCAGCTAGCTCTCTGCGCAGGATCTTGTGCACCTCCGGGTGTGGATGCGGAGTCCGCGCACCACCCACTCTCCGCCACAGAGGCCGGGCTGCCAGACCCCACGATCACGCCCGAGGCCAGACCCAAGGTGCCTGCGCCCGCACGGGGTGGGGAGCCGAGGACACCCCAACACCCAAACCTCGGGCTGCGGAACCCTGGATCACTTTGAGGTCGGGCCCTGGACCCGGCGCACTCACAGCAGAACGGAGCCGAGAGCGCGCGGTCTGAGGCCAGCCCAAGAGTCCGCTCAGCGCCGTCGAGGGTCCCGGGCCCCGGCCCCTGCACCCACCTGCGGCCCTGCTGCCCTCAGAGCCCCGCTCCCCGCCAGCGGGTGTCCTGGAGGCGAGCGGAGCCCCGATCCCCGCGCCCCGCGGCCCTTACCGTGAGCGCCGAGAACTTCTGCGCCGGCGCGGGCGGGAGCAGCTCCGCCAGCAGCAGCAGCCACCAGAGCCGGGGCGCCAGCATCGCGCCCGCAGGGCCAAGCGCTGGGACAGCCACGGAGCGGAGGCGCCGCTCGAGGCGGCCAAGGGACCTCCAGCAGCCCTGCGCCCTGCGCGTCC